AAGCACTGTGTTGGGCACTGGGTTTACAAAGATACAAGGAGCTCCTAATTTAGCAGAGAGATGGATATATGACTGATGTATTGTAATAAATTATACAGAACCATTGGGTGGAGTAGAGAGCCACTCGTGGAAGCTCCCCAGCTGAGGCGGGTATGAGAGGAGGGGGGATGCACACAGACAGAACATTCACATTTTAACAGGGCCTTGAGGAGCGAGCCAGACTAAAAAGGAGCAAACTTCTACACCTGAATGAGAGAAATACACCAACTCTTAAGCTTTTAAATGAATACTACTAATTTAAAAGGAGATGACTCCTATCATTTGTGAAATTAAAGAACTCACTTAATGATCAAAAGTTCTTTTACTAGTTATTAACCTTGAATTACACAGAAAAGAGCAATTTTACTGATTTTATTCTTTGGCAGTAGCTACCTGAAAGGATAAGTAGGAGTAGTGAAGCTTCCAGAAGTTCTGACAATTCATCTTTGTCTGGATTTCTTTATCTTCCTTTTTTTTTTAAGAGCTAAATCTGAATCTATGGGAAATACCAAATGGAAACAAGGCTTTTTAAAAAAACTTAAAATGAGTGAAAAATGATTATCTTGTTTCTTTTTTACATCTAAGGAACATAGATATAGTGTGAATTATTATCAACTGAAGAAATACTTCTAAAGAATATTTTCTAAAACTAATGTAGAACAATTACAAACTTCTTTAATTATGAAAAACATTCCAGAAGGAAGCTCCAATATGAGGGATATTTTTGTTTTTATATTTCATGAGAGGAGACCAGATCGATACTAAAACTCATTTAAAATCTTCAAGTTTCACAGACAAGGCCAGATGTGAAAAGTGCACACTTATTCGGTGAACTTGTCTTTCACAGTTCCTTCTGAAGCATGTTCTACTCTCCCAAAATTTTGTACAGCCATGTTTATAAACAGGCTGTGTTCAGAGTCTCTCCCATGCACAGGCCTTTCAGCTCTACGACAAGCCCTTGCAATTATTTCTTCAACTTGTTTTTTTCTACCATTTTGAAAGCCCCTTCATGGTGAAGTCCAGTGTCAACTTTTTCACAGCTACATTCCAGCACATTGCAATACTCTGCACATACTAAGTATTCAATAAATATTTGCTGGATAAGTCCCTAAATGAATAAAATGCATCTAAAAAAACAGTAACAAATACCACGCTAGAACAAACCCCTCTGAAGGTGGTAGTGTAACACATGGTGTTTGGAAACTTGGTTATATTTTTCAGCAGGAAAAAAACTCTTCATTGGGACATGGTATGCTTCCACAACTCAAGGTGACACTAATTGCTTGAATGACTCTGCATTGCCTACAAATGTTTCCCCCCATTTAAACAGGAATAATACAGCCATTCGACGGTGACGGTACCTTTCCTGTGAAGAAATATGCTTTCTAGAGTAAGAATAAGAGTTCAATGAGAAGTAAATTGTCAGGTTTCATGTGTCTACACTACAAACACCCCTTCCTCCAGATTTAAGTAAGTGCTGAAAGGCCTCAGCACCCTCCCTTTCCCACTGTCTCTGAACGCCCCTATGAGGGAAGAGAAAAGTAATATGCAAAGTCTGGTGAACCACACCCAAAACGTGGAAGAGGCAGATGAAGTAATCTTAGAATTCATCACAGTTAACTAAGTCAGTAAGTTCCTGAGCAGCTTATGTATTACGAGAAAATTACAAAAGGTGAGCAGGGATAAGGCCCCAAACTTCTTAAATCCCTAAAGTCACTCAAAATACAGGGGTCTTTGTGTTTAAGACACTGAATTACTCTACTTTTTTTTTCTATCGTTTTTTTTTTT